AGGTACGTTGTCGAATTTTTTTATTATGTTAGTGAAAACTTTAATATTAACATGATAGTGGAATCAAATTTTTACTCGACATACTGCTGCACTGATCACGTGTAAGGCGGAAGTAGCGAGGTAAGTTGCAGAGGTGTGAAATGTAGTGTCCGATGCTATCAGTCCGATATCTTTGGCCTTTTGTCCACTGACCTGGCTCTCCGGGAATGACACTGGTAAACTGCACGGGTGTGAAAAATAATGTTAGCTGTCACACCTGCATGTATTAGGTAACTTTCTCTTATCAGTCGGGATAAGAAAGTTCAGCCGACGCGACAGATGGGCATGTGTGAAAAACTATGTTCGCTGCCCTGCTTCCAAACCTTTACTGTTAACATAGTTTTGGTGTATTTTGTTGGTTAATAAATGATAACCACGTAGGGAATTCATCTTCTTTTGTGTATCTATCTTCAAAAATTTGAATTTATAAATGATCATGTAGTAATCAATTGCGTGTATCGCTATTAGTTTGCACTGCTAGCAAGCGCCTAAAGCCTTTGCCCTTTGGTCTAAAGTTCATATTACCTGTCACACGCAGAGATAATATTTTTTTGAAAATTTGTTAAATCTTAACATGCATTTACTCAAAATTTTGCTGACATATTTTTGTGTAATGCAGATGGAACATTCATGGTTAGGATTCTGAAATAGTGATTATTTTGTCTAGTAACAACATAAATCCACATGATGTAAGATTTCGATTTTATACATTTTTTTTTTTCAGATTCACAATATAATAGATTCTGAAATGATAGTCCAGAAGAGAGATACTGTGCCTCATTCTGAAGAGAGTCTGCCCACAGATATGCTTGCAGAAGTTTCTAACAGACTGCCAGTTAATTGTTTGTCCCAGGATCTCAGTGACCAGCTCAGTCAGTGCAACTCACCCTGCTGTAATGGACAGCCAGCGCCATGCCCCTCTCCATGCTGTAATGGACAGCCAGCGCCATGCCCCTCTCCATGCTGTAATGGACAGCCAGCGCCATGCCCTTCCCCATGTTGTAATGGAAAGCCACCCCCATGTCCTTCTCCCTGCTGTAATGGACTGTTTATGTGCCAGTCACCTTGCTGCCAAAACCCTCCACCACAACAGTCCACTCCAATGAAATGCAACAATCTGTCAGATTGTTTGGACTTCAGTGACCTATCATTTCACCCAGATCATGATTCCACTTATATACAGGACACCGACAGTGAGTCAGAATGGGAAAGTCCAGATGAAGAGGCGGAGAAAGATGACACTGACCCAGTGACTGACACAAAATGCCTAGTATTTCATAATCAGTTGAAAGGTCTTTTTGAGAAGTGCTTGGGGGACAAATTTTGTGCCGCGCCAGTGGTGGACAGGAAAGAAGAATGGTGTGGCAGCATGTTAACTGTCAAAGGTACCTGTCTAAACCATCACGATTTTGTCTGGCGTTCGCAGCCGGTTGTGAACAAGCAACCTGTAGGAAATATATTATGTGCAGGTGCAATTTTGTTTACTGGGAACACTTTTACTTCATTCAAAGAAATCACTGAGGCTCTCAACTTGAAGACCATCCAGGAGAGGCAATTTTACGCTATACAGAAAAAACACCTTTTGCCATGTGTTAACCAAATGTGGAAAATTCACCAGGAACAGCTTTTGTCAGGTCAGTGGATATAAAGTCTGTATCATCAACCGTAATGCTTATATATATATATATATATATATATATATATATATATATATAATAGAGAGGGAGGGGGGATTTCTTAGTTGGGTTTACTCTGATTATATATGAGATGTCTAAATATTTGTAAGATGTTCATTAGGAAAATGTACAACCCTCTCAAGTTTATGATTATTATTATTTTTCTTCTTTAGAATATACACAAGATGAAGCTTTGGTTGTGGCAGGTGATGGGCGTTGCGACAGTCCTGGTCACACAGCAACTTTTGGCACGTACAGCCTGATGGACACAAAAACCAACAGAATCCTCACTACTAATGTTGTGAAAGTGACTGAGGTCCCAAATTCTTACCATATGGAAAACGAAGGCCTTGTGCGTTGTATGCAGGATTTACATGTAAGTTGAAAGTTGCTGTATGTTATACTACTGTAATAATTATTTTAATTGATCTAGTCATCTCTCCCAGATGTGCACCCGTCTCACTACACGTATTCCTACATGAATTATTGTTCTTTGCAGAATTCAGGTGTTACTGTGCACACTATTGCCACTGACAGGCATCCACAAATAACAAAAACCCTTAGAGAGAAATACCCCTCCGTCGAGCAGCAGTATGATGTGTGGCACTTGGATAAGTCGGTGAAGAAGAAGCTCTCTGCAGTGGTTAAAAAGAAGGAGTGTGCAGATTTACAGCCATGGGCAAAAGCCATCAGTCATCATCTGTGGTGGTCAGCTGACTCTTGCCAGGGGAATGCACTGGAGCTAAAGGTAATTGAATTGGAAGGACAGGTCTTACAAAATTCATTGGATGTAAAAGTTAGAAGTAATCCAAAATGATCACTGCTTGTCATTGAAGCTTTTTTACAGCTTGTGATCCTTTGCCACACAAGTCAAATCAAGTTTTGGTTGCACAGCTGTCATGTTTTTTTTTTGTTTTGTTTTTTTAGGAACGTTGGCAGTCTATCTTAAGACACACTGTTAACATACATGAGTGGACAGTAGGCCAACGCTTCTTGAAATGTGCTCATGAGGATTTATCAGATAAGCAGTCCAGGAGCAAGAAATGGTTGAAGGCAGGTTCCCCTGCCCACAAGGCTCTCCAGTCCATAGTATTGGATAAAAGACTAACAAAAGACCTTGAGTCGGTAAGTGACATTAGAAATTAAGAAAAATGACAATTTTATTTTGACCGATTAACTCTTATACAGTAGTTTGTTCTTTAGAAATATTATTTTCCATTACACATTGTATCTATATACTTTTGTCACACTTTTTGTGTCAGGATTACTAGCTGTTCTCCTTACTGTATTAATTTATTTCAAGTTTTAAAAAGTGCGCTTTTCACTGATGAAATACTACCCAGAGGGGAATAATTCTTTCATTATTTTACTTACATAATTCTGGAGTGAATTTCCATTGATATTTACTCATATGTATGTTATTTCACATTACCAGGTTACTGGATTTTGTCACACTGGCCACTTGGAAGTATATCATAACATGCTGCTCAAGTATGCCCCAAAGAGGCTCTCATTTAGTTACGAGGGAACAGTGGCCAGAACATTGCTAGCAGTACTCGATAACAATCACAATCAGAACCGGGAGCAAGTGGTGAACAAGAATGGTACACTTCGATGGAACGTCCGATGGTCTAAAGTAACCAAACGCTTTACCGCACAGAAGGTTATGGGCCAAAAGGATATGGAGTTCCGTCAACACTTGATGCAGTGTGCAGTAGATAGAGTAGAAAGAGGTAGATATTTTTTCCAAAAATATTCCTTGGTAACAATACACAGGAGATTGAGATTAACAGTTTCAGAAGTGTAAATTATTCATGATATCAATTTTTATTAGCTACTTTATAATGTGACTGTTTAGGATATAAATGTGACAAAGACAACCTTATACATTTCATATATTTTTGTTGGTCAACATATTTTTATTATATTACAATAATTAACATTATCTGTTTATTGGAAATTACAGGGCTTGGGGAAGAAATTGACAAGATTTTTGTCCCAGAGTTAGCAAGGAACACTGTGGCCAAGACGCCGAAGCCCACTAGAGATGAAGTTGTACAGGGACACATTTCTAGATTCCGCAAACTGACATATTAGACTTGATTATTATTATTCAGTAACTTGAGCAGTTCATGTGTCCTTATTTTATGAATATATACAAGTACAGTTGATCCTTCAAATGTATATTCTAATCATTGGAAAAATAATCAGTGTGAATTGTAGCAGCAGACTAATAAGCACTACAGATGTATGTTATGCATTAACTGTACAGAGTTCATGTTCTAAATGCAGTTCATTGTAAAGGTCCACAATCACAAAAATAAAGCAAAAATAAATGTTTAAATGTAGGCTTATTCATATATTGAGCATAATCACACATCCTCATGGCCGTCCATTGGTCCACCCAGTACCTCATGATAACCTTCATAACATCCATCTTTTTCTGGAAACCGTTTCCTTATTGAGGTCACTACACAGGCAGGAATAACTTTTCTTCGCCTCCTCCCCAGCTTCCCATATATCCACCATGTGAAGCTTCTGTACGCCACATATCTGTACATTCTAGAAAATAAAAATGTGGTATGATCATTTTTTGTGTTATTAATTCTCAGTCGAACATGTCACCACCGCTTCAATGAACGATAATAATCAGTTAAATAATTATTTTAATATAAAATGAGTTAATATACAGGACTTAGTTTAGTGGAAATTAAAATACAACCGGACTAAACGACATTCCGAAAAGCGCCGCTATCATTGTCTTACCTGGTCGTAATTGGGTCACGCAGACTTTCCCCGAGCACTTCTTTCATCGATGCCATGAGGATCTCCAGCATGTCTGCGTCTAAACATGCATTATTGTAGGTCTGTAGTTCGGTAACGCATCTGGTATCGTGCTTCATTTTGGCAGACACAGCAGTGTTTTCACTACAGCACGTTGATTCCACAAAGGTGGGCATAAGCTCACAATGGCCACACTCGCACCACGCCAAATCGTTTAGTCGGCTGACTGTAGAGAGCTCTCCTTCACTATCTTCCTGGTCCGTTTTCCACTCGGCATCATCCACATCTTCTGCAATACCCTCTGGTTCAAACAAATATCCTTCAATTCGTTCTCTGTTCATTTTTACAAAATAGTTCAGACAAAGCGATCGAGTAAATGTAAGTAAGCGGATAGCTGAATCGAATATGGCTTTCTGAGCCTCGACGCCAGTGACGTCACTCGCCTCAAAGCGCCACCACGCGGGAGTATCGTAAACTACATTCACACCTGCATAGAATCGGCTTTAAAAACTAAATAAACGTAAGAACTTTTTTTTCATTACTCAAAAATGACTTTTGGGCACCTAATGGATAGTTTAAACCCGTTTTTCCATCACAGTATACCTTTAAGAAAATCAAGCTTAGCTACAGGTACATGATACACATGCAATTTTGCATAATTCTGAGAATACTCAAACATAAGTTTATTGAACCCGCTTGCCAGTTTTTATATGTAGTCTAGTATGGATAGATGCACGCTTTAGAGCCAGCTGAACTTTACATTTTTATACTGTTCATACTTCCGGACTTAAAACCCTTAGAAACAATTAATCTTCGTACTATTGAAGCTTCGGACCAATGAATCTTCGGAATACGTCATGCACCGGAAAATTGATCCGTGGTCCTAGTACAGGGTAATTATATATCATCGATATCGTTTATAATCAATATCATATTTATGAAAGTAGGATGCATCTCAGAATGAAATTATTTTAGGGATTCTACTTACTCTTCCGACCGTCCACGTTTTGTCGGAATATTGTGACGTTGTGTCCTGCACAAAATTATTTTATATATTTGATTATTATTATATATTTGGTATCACTTATAATGCACTAACAGCTAGATTACGTGTAGATAAGGTCGTAAGGTTAAAATAAAGGAGGGTTTGGAAATATTCGATACATCTTTATATATCGAAAAAGACTTCTGATTCTTACTACCAACGGATATTTCGATTTTAACGACATGTGAATTTTGTTGCAATAGCTAATGCGCACTAATCTAAGGGGGACGCTATCTTAATGCATTCACATTTTAATTCTTTATTTAATTAATTTATTAAAATATTTATTAAAATAGACCAACATGCCTCCTGATGTCGAGTAGAATATATAAAAGCTGGTGATAATACCAAAAAGTGGGAAACAAAAAGGTGTGCTAGTCTGTTAAGCTGATTGCATTCTGCCAGAGTCTGCTGAGTAAGAGCGCATTACCTAGGTCGACAAAATTCATTCTGAATTTCATGGTCCCACATACATCGCATCAAGTGTAAACAAGCAATTATAACAAATTTTATAATCATTTTAAAAGATCGATCTGTAAGAACTTTTAGAATATATTTATAGGCCTATTACATTTTTCGTCTCTCAGAAATTCATTTTATTTTGGCACAGAACTTACGTACATGTACATCCTTTTCATTTCCAATCCACTTCTTTCCAGTAACAGGGTTCCTTTGAATTACTATAACACTAAAACCGACAAGTGGTGTGAATAACTATTTTTATTTCCAGATACTGCAATTAAAATTGTAAGTTGAGTCAATTAAACATTAACACATTACGCTGTTACTCATTTGGTGCTTTAGTAAAGAATTAAGTATTTTTCTCTCAATGTTATAATATATTCAAAGTTATTTTAATTAGAGTAAGCAACAAGCTGCGGAGAGTACAACATTGAAAATCAATATATAACAGGAGCAAAAACTGCCAATTAGACCATAGCAGTGGGACATTAGCATGCTTATGTAAATAAATTAAAGTAACTATGTAAAATCTCTTACTACTTGATGTACTGGGCCTTTTAATTATGCTAAATATTTAAAAATATTTTTGAAACAAAAATATTTCAAATGGGAACATAGTTAAATAAATATTTTTGAGGTAAATGACACCTTTGGACATAAATAATTGTGGTAAATGCCATACTGGTAATCTTTCTAGGATTTCAAACATACACATTTTAAAACTTCTTTGGTGTGAGACAATAAAGAAATAATCAAAATCAAAAAGTAAAAGGCAAACAACAACAACATCAACAACAGCAAGAACATTGCACGCCCTCTACCTTTAAGTCAAACATTTAAGTCATACAAATATATTCAAAATAATTTTAACATGATGCAAATGCTTTAAGTATACCACTTCAAGTGGATACACCTTTGGTCTGATTTGTACAGTATAAAGTCCTTGCAATCATACCTTTTTTCCTACTGGTGCAAGCATTAATATACAAGCCCCATCTTACATTTTTTTTGCTTCCACTTATTGCTGCATATAAAAAACTAGCTTTCATTTTATACATTTCCTGCCCATTGGTTATTATCTCTCTTAAATGAGGAATTCCTTCCCTCCCCCTGTCCACTTGAAATTTCAGGGGCAAATAATAAAATAAAGTCGACAAAATTTCCATCAAAAATCATCCACATTACTCATAAATACCAAGTTCCTTTGAAGTAACCCCCCACCCTACATGTTTTATCTTCTGTTACATCATGATATGATCACGATAAAACTTCCGTAATAATTACCCAGTTCCAACAAGTCCATTGATTCATCTGTCCACTAAGTGTGTTAGGTGAGATGAACACAATCACTGGGGTTTCTCTGCATAAAACAATCCCCAGCGTTGCTCTCCGGTTCCTGAACAGCGAGCAATCTTCACTTTCCACCCTTCCACTATGTAGTTGTAATCCTCCTCTGAGAATTTCTATACAAAGTAAAATTAGTTACAAAATAAGGCAAATCTTATAAAAAACAAATAAAAAGAAATTAGTCTACCCCTTCATAAAAAATCAGCATAAAAAGCATTCTTCAGTCACTAAAATGGCACCCCTTTCTAAACTTAATTTACTGAAATAACAATCTATAATTTTAAAATTACAAAAAAGTATCTAAACAAACATAAATATTTAAAGAAACATGGCAACCTTACCTTAATAAAGTCGTCTTTTATACTCTCTGTACGTTTCAGCTCTCTCTGAAGTACGTCTATGAAGTGGTCAGTGCGGTCCTCTGCTCGGACATTCACAAAACCCACCTTCTCTAGCAACTGTAATGACATTAAATATAAGCTCTGAACTTCTTCAAAATCATGAAGTTGATTAATGGAGGAACAGCTGTTTGTAATGCGAATGATACACTTTTTTTAATCTAACACTATGACTCTTTAAAATTGAAAGGAACTGAAAGCCAACCTAGTCAATTTCATGATTATATTCTCCATATATATATTTATTTATTTTTACTTTACACATAAACACAAACAGTATCTTTAAATATTGAGCAGTAGTCAGATGATACTTTTAAAGTTAGGACACATTTTATTTTCTTTAGATTTAACAACATTGGTTTTACCTTGCCATACTCCGTGGGAGTGAGGAGATGATATCCACGCTGTGCCACATATTTCTGAAAGTTTTCAGAATGGTCTCCGTCACTGCAGCAGTAGTCTGAGATGAGCAACTTGCCACCAGGCTTCAGGAAGGACTGGAATTTATCATATAATTTCATCTCATTATTCTTTAAATAATCTTCCATCAAGCTGTTACTCATAAACACACAGAGACTTAGTTAATGGGATTGATTCCTTGTTGCCTAGATATCCCCTCTTATCCATCTACTAATTCTTGCTAAAGGTGACCGATTGCTTTAAAAAATACAAAAGTGGTAAAAAATACATCTCTAATAGTATCACTACACAGACTGATCCAACTCCACGGGGACTCTTGCTGAGTGCAATAAGTGGAATAGACTAAGTAGAGTAGAATATGGAAGAGCTGGTGACTATATGAGTATGATGGACTCAAGAAGAGTTGTGTGTATTACCTCCGCCAAGGAGGTTATGTTCTCACCCCTGTTTGTCTGTCTGTCATCAACATAACTCAAAAAGTTATGGACTGATTTTGATAAAATTTTCAGGAACTGTCAGAAGTGGGCCAAGGAAGAGATGATTAGTTTTTGGTGGTGATACGGATCAAAAATCAATCAATAATCAATAAAAATCAAAAATTGCTGCCTTGGCAGAGGTCTGCGCTCTCGTTTGTTAATCTGATTGCATTCAGCAATAGTTCCCTCGCAGTTGGATTGATCTACACAAAATGATAATTTCATTGGGAATGGGCTCTTAGATGCATGCTCACCAGTAATCTCCTGAACAGAGTTTCCTTGTCAGCTATGTGCAGGATGGTGTCCCTGCTGTAGACTACATCAAAAGACTCAGGTGGGTATTCCCTCTTTGTGGCATCTGCTACCTCAAACTGTACCTGTAAGATGAAAACTACAGAATATACATAAGAAATGACATCTTTGAGAGCATATTAAGCCATCCAGGTTGAAAAACCTTCATTCTATGATGAAATTTAATTTAGAAATTAAGCCTCTATTTTTAATAATGTGTATTTGATGAAAATTGACCCTTTTTAGGAAATCCCACCCACATGGTCTCAATTCATGGACCCACAGCCTCTGTTCATGTTCAACAATGTTTATTGAAAGGCCATGTTGTGATAGGGCTAAAACTAATGTAGTCTATTATTATTTCCTTATGCAACTGCATAGCTCTGTCATTATAGCAAAAGAGTTGTAGCAAAAACAAATAATGAAGTTTCGTAAAGTTAATTTAAAATGAGATTAAATTTAACCATATATATAGTATAATAAATATACAATATCAAATGAAAAAAATAAATTCTGACAGCTTTATTTCAATGTTACAACCTTTTAGTGATATAATTACCCTTTTGTCTCTGATTTCATTAGCTCTCTCCAGACCTATACCAATCATATTTTCTGACAAGTCCACAGCAAGCACATGTGCTCCGTATTTCTGAAAATCAGACAGTCCAATGAATTTTTTTGTTATTATTATTATTATTATTTTTTTTTTTGGGGGGGGGGGCAGAAAGAGAAAAATACATCAGATTCTTTGAAGTTATGCATAAGCGAAACTAAAAGTCTGCAGCAGGTGCTGAAGACCAAGTAAATAAATAAATAAATAAAACTGAAAATAATCTCAACTTTTACATCAGAATTTCTATAACGACTAATGGTTACCACACTTGTTTACAGAATAAACTTAACTACTAAACAAACTAAGTTTTTACCTCTGCCATGTGGAAGGCACTGCCTCCAATTCCTGCTCCCACATCTAGTACACGCTGCCCAGGCTTCAGATCCAGCATCTTTACAAACTCCTAAAAATGGCCACAAATCTAATGAATTTAGCTTTTAATCTGACATGGTGACAAACTCCTAAAAACATTTAACAGACAAGAGCCTAGGTTTAAAAAAACTCTGAACATTTATCATGGGACCCAACACTTAACCTTGACAAATCTCAGGAACCATCAGAATTGAATAAAAAAACGCGGAATTCCACTTTTCCTGCGGAAAAAGCTCATGTCTGATTTAAAACGTAGAGCAATAATTGTCAAAAAAAAAAAAAATAAATAAATAAATTCCTGAAAATGGGCAGAATTCAAACAACATACATACCTCCGTGGTCTCTAGTCCTCCTGTGCTGACAAAATGGCGGCCAAAGATCATCTCGTAGCGTAGGATCCCATTTCTAGAGTACTGCTGATTGTCCAGGAAGTCTTGGAATGTTTTGTGCCCAAAGGCAGCTGCCGTGTTTGAATGCATCTTGTGCATCAGCCAGCACACCTGGTTACTGTTATCTTTGAGCTGAATAAAAGCAGAGGACAGTATTAACAGTACGCTGAAAACTGAAAATACAAAAGATGAAAAAAAAAAACTTTGAAAACTACAGTAGGGCTAAAAGATGAATACTATGCACATTAACTTGTTGGCAAATTAACTGACTAGTCCAAGATTTTTAAAGGGCCTTTACTTTTTGACACATTGAAAAAAAGAAAGTTTTTTGGGCTTTTAAAAAGACAGAAAACCACTCCTCAAATAGATCTTCAGCAATTTTCCACTTACTTAATTATCAACCATAATCTCTTTAGTCATTTGGAAAATTCCAAAATATTGAAAAAAAAATGTCTGTTGATAAGACAATTTTGTTAAAACTTCAAACAGACATAAACTGCACAAAGACAAGTTCATAGGCACAAATGATACGACCCTAGTTTCCATACCTTAACATAGGTTTGTATAGACTTGGACAGAATAACTTCAAACAAATTAGTTCCGTCAGGTACTGGCACTGACACAGACTTGAACAAGTTGCTATATGTGGCAGGGTCACGATACTTGGTCGGGTTTGCTTCTCTTTTCTTATCACCTACCCAAAGATATCAGTATCAATATTTTAACCGGAAAATAGAAGCATATACCACAGGTATGCTACAGTTAGCACTTAAAATTGTGCCACTTGCTCTTTTGATTTACCTGAGAATACCAGATGACATACTCTCTGTTTATAATTATGCAGGAGTGCTTGTTTACATTAAATAATTCATGGTAGTCACACTCTTCAAGTGTGTGTGTGTGTGTGTGTGCGTGTGTGTGTAGCACATTAGTCTCCGATTAATAATTGTAGTCTGTTTTCATTTTGCAATAGTATGTCAATAATTAACTAAGATTAAGAATGTCTGGAATTACCGATTTTTCTTATGCTGAAAATATTAGTAATCTTTGCAAAATAATATGTGTATCAAAAAAATTTACACACGTAAAAATGCCTTTAATTCCTAAAGTAAACTCCAAAGCAGCATGCTGTTACTTATCGCTCCATACTATCTTACCTGACTGATGGAAACACGACTCCCTGAAGAAGAAATAGCAGCCATCTTTCAGCCAGGAAAGGATTTTTTCCGCCACAGCTCTCACCTCCTCGTCTCCCAGGTACATAAACAGCCAGTTAGAAAACACCAAGTCGTATCTAGAAAAAAATTTGAATCAGAGCAGACATGTTTTGCCACAAGCATGGTTCTTTTAACCCTAATCCTCCTCACCCCCCCCCCCCCATGCCTGCATGTATTTGCTGCAACTTAAAAATCACTGTAAAATCAGATATAAATTTAAGACTAGTAACATATACATAGCAATCAAATGACTTTTGTAGTGCCTTATATCTCAAGTGACAGAATAAAGGCAATTTCATATCAAATCAAGATATATAGTTATAGAATCTGATAGATAAAAAAGCTTTATCTTAATTCCATGAATATATAGTTTAACTTGACTGCTTGTACATATACCAACACCAAAATACAAGATCATCTACTACCCTGGTTCTTAAGGGTGAAAGATAAATCACTGATACATATTTTTCATCTAATTAACTTACTTGCCCTCTGGCAGGTCAAGTTTTGTGACATCAGCACAGAGAAACTCCACGTTGCCACGGTGACCGTTCAATTCTTTGTTCTTGTCCACAAACTTCTGCATAAAATCCACTGCTGTCACCTGTTTGGCTTTGTCTGCTAGTACAGATGTAAACCGACTGCAAGAAACAGTATATGATAACACATTAAAGAATGGCTAGATAGAGAAGGCTTGATACTGTAGAATGATGTGGGAATAAGGAATGCAAACATGCAATCTTGCTTTACTTCAGAAGAAACACAAACGAATTGCAAAGTTCAAACAATATGTAAGTTTTTTTTCTTTTTTCTTTAATTAAAATACTTTAATAATAGAGGACACTAAAATACTTATGTACTGTTAACTGTATTTCACATTAAAGTTCATGTTAATTAGCAAATATTTTTACTAGCTCTGATATGCACTACAATTATTGTTATAGATATCTCAATCCTAAAACTTAGGGTTATTACCACCTTATATATTTAAGTGTCTCACAAGACATCTTCATTTAGGAGGCCATAAGTATTTTAATGTCACAAAACGTTCATAACACAGCACTTGAAAATTAACACCCCATTTCTATAGATTTTTAGATCAATGTATCCCTGTGGGGAGTCTCACTAGATTACTGTCAGCTTGGCCGGCTTAAGCGTCTGTCCCGCCTACTAAAAGCTGTAGGGGGGTAATTAACTATGGTGTCCGCTCGGCTGACTGCAATTTAGCCTGAACCCCCAGGGAGTTAGGTCGATCTAAAACTTAATCTTTAGATCGATCTAAATCTCTGGGAAAGCACCCTAAGTCCCATGTTTAGCAATCGGCTATTTCCAGTTTAACTTAATTTCTCCCTTTTACAGTAAATCAGACAGGTTTTGAATGCAGCCTTTGGTCTTAGGTTCATAAGCCAAGAAGAGACATTCTATATAATAATAATAATAATTATTATTATTATTATTATTATTATTATTATTATTATTTCCAAAATCCTACCCTATTCCAGATCCTAATTCTAACACAGTTTTGCCCTCTAAGGATGGAATCAGTTCCAGGATTTCTGGGATTTCCTCTTTACACAGCAGCTCTGCATTGCTGTCCAGCATCATTTCTTGGAGAGTTGCATCCTTGGAGTGGCTCTCCCAGAACTGGGTCATGTCATGACGGGTTTCTATGGAAACAAACCACATACTGTACATATACATTCAAAAAGTATCATCTCATAGCAAGTTAATGGTAATGTGACTGAAAAATATGCTCTGCCACTGAAATATGGAGTGAAATTATGCCATCAACAAAGAATTGGGGGAGATTGTCATTGCTACAATTTTTGTAAAATATTTAAATTTATAACCATATCAGCTGAGAGAAAATGATTGTCTTTCAAACACAGACACATATACAATTACACACACACACACATACGCAGACACACATACTGTACACACACGCAGACAGGCAGACACACACACACACACACACACACACACACACACACACACACACACACCGGGTCCCATATGTTTAGGACAGGCATATGGCACAGGTTGGGATTATTCAGAGCATTGGGGTTAGCATATGGGACAAATGGCACCTGTACAAAGTAGTGGGGAACTGACTATACAGTTCCTAGTGGACTTCCAAACCAGTTTCACCGGGAAGTAAAGANACATATATTGATTTAATAATTAATTTAGATCATCATAATTAATTCATTAATCTTCACTCAACAAGCGAAAACAGATCTCAATATGGTTATAGTATATAGGATGCTCGAGATATCAGGTGTAATCCTACAGATGCTTACCGTCTGCAGCCATTATGTCTGTTGAATGTGTCCCGAGTCAGCGTCCTCAATGATTGTCAATCCCTGCTGCCGTGGGTTAAATATAGCCTTACTGAAGTTTATCTAGCCTTTGCACTCCGTGACTTTGACCCCGATGTATAATTTAAGAACACCGGCGCAGGTAACTTTCGGCAATCATTGACACATTCCGCAAGACCCAAAAAGCTACGCGTACCGCAGTGTAATATTTCGTCACCTTATGCAAATCAGGATAATTTCTTTGAAGACACGTTGCATATCCCTTATCATACCCTCCCTCTCTCCAAACACGCTTATACCAGACAGCGGAAAATTCCACACGGGTTTCCACAGACTGCGCGGTTCGATCAGCTGAGTATCTCCATTGATGGTTTTCGCGTACATGGCTTTTCCATACAGAAGCCTCAATTTGAAGCTGCGATATGAAAACAAATGGAGACTTAAAATGAGACCTTTGATCTGACAGTTGTTTGAGTAAGTTTATCCCCATTTTTTCCGGATAATTCACTTTGTTAAAACAGACGAAAGAGTACATAACAGAATGATCGATTATAATTTGACATTCTGGTGTCGACAGGGAAGGGATTTTTCAATGCAAGGAAACTTAAAATTGATGGACAGACAATTCGTTTTATTAGAAATAAAACAAGTGCGGATCCAGGATTATTTGAAGGAGGGGGGGTCCGCTTGGCGTGGGACTCGGGGCCCGTTGAAGGGCCCCAAAATGTTTTGCTTTTAAAAGGGCGAACAGTGTCATTTGGCACAGTTTAGATCTATAATTCAACTAGTCAAAATTCTAATTTCAAGAGGGTACAACTTTTTAGTGTTTTTTTTTCAGTAATCGAAGGGGGGGGACAGGACCCCCCTGACACCCCCAATCCGTCACAGTGCAAAATCGAAAATCCTGCCACCTAGCGATGACCTTCTGAAGTTAAGCTTGTCTTGTGACCTTTACTCGAGCGTAAGGATGGCTTCTGCTAGATTAGTTAGGTGTGCGAGATCTCTATTTCGGACGAATATCAGTCTCTTTCCTCGACTTAGCACGAGTGTCAACCACCAAAAAAGATGGCTAAGTTGCACACAAAACTTAACAAGTGATATTCCAAAAGGTAGGCTATTTATGACTGGTTTTGTTGAGGAAAAAGCATAGCTTTTCAACTCACTTGAGGCTAAGCAGGGATCGGCCAGCATCATGCATGTGTGAGATATTTCCGACTATACTAGTAGTCTGACTGTTTAGGAGACAAAAATAACATTTTTGAGATCGACACGGATCTTTTTTGTTCATTAGATGGCAGACTCATCCGTGTTTGTGTACTGGAGGTGGTATGGGCAGTACATTGTTGTACCCTTAGTAGGTACCGGTATATCAGAAAAAAAAAAAAAAATAGAATGTGCCAGATATAAACACAAGTTATATCTTCTGAATAGTCTTTTGATCCAGAATGTTATATTTTTGGAATTTTGATATTATCTCTAAATTTAAAGGAAATATCACAGTTTTTTAAATAGTGATATTAGGGCAAATGTGTCCTCCCATTATAGCCAGAAAGCTGTGACCACTCAGCGCTATTTTGCCAACTTAAAAACATACTTCACCTTGATCAATTTTCATGGGGTTTGTTGCATAAAATCGCAAATGTTCTGTACTTTCACAAAGTATTGAAATTTAGGCATAGAAGATTTTTGTATAAGTGGTAATTGGTCACTGGCGGGCTAGTGCTGCTGCATGACATGATTAACTGTGGCACCTCAAGAGCATTCTGATATATTTACCCTTAGACTGCATTCCCACAGATTTTAGATCGATCTATCCCCATGGGGAGTCTCACTAGATTACTGTCAGATTAGCCGGCTTAAATGTCTGTCCCGCCTACTAAAAGCTGTGAGGGGGTAATTAACTTTTGTGTGCACTTGGCTGACAGCAATTTAGCGTGAACACCCAGGGAGTTAGGTCGATCCTACAGTGATTGATTACATGGTTTCGCCTTTTTTTAAGGCCAACTGCTCATGAAAACTTCTGAACTTAATTTGAGTTAAAAAACTGAGAGCATTTCTCAAATGTGCACACCTTATTTTCAGACCGCCTTTACACAGAAGAACATGAGTGGGTGAAAGTGGAAGGAAGCACAGGGCTAATAGGAATCTCAGACTATGCCCAGGTTATATAGAATCCATGGTTTTAATAGTTCTTGTCATCAAAAATTTATGATTTGTTGAACACTTTCATTTGCTATGCGTTTTCTTTGAATAAATTTAAAGTTTCATTGGTGTAAAATAACAGAGGTTAACCATAAATTCATGATTAATTTGTAAATTAAAGAAACATAAGCCATGTTGATGTTTTTTTTATACATTTTTACCTTAACACATTGTTTTACTAGCTTTCATAGCTCCAGACCTTAATTGTATGTTAGTGGACCAATCTTTAATAAAACCGGGAAGTATTATTTTTGTCTTAGGTTTAGTTCCTTTTTCAGGCTCAACTTGGGGACCTGGTATATGTTGAGCTGCCAGAGTTAGATGCCGTTTTCACCAAAGGAGGTAAGTTGTATACTGCTAGACCCAGGACTGTG